CTTAAGTCAGTTGTCAAGAAGAATCTTAAGTAATTCGTGAATTCCAATGTATCTGGTGACACACTTTGCCTTTTTAAGCATTAGCATTTGTATTAACATTCTTCAGGGTTGGCTAAATTCACCTGAGGAAGAGGGGGAAGGTGGCAGCTGTGTGTTTATCGTGCTAATTCTGCCATACCTTCCCTCTTAGTCTGCAGGATGTCAGTGTCTTGCCAGTTCATTTGGCAAAAGATCCTGTACAAGAGATTCTGTAGAGTAGGGAAAAAAGTTGTCCTGGCTGCTGGAACCGGAGGCTGAGGGCATCAGTGTTTCTGGAAATGTCCCGTGCTGAGCTTCAGCTTCAAGGTAATCGCGTAGCCTTGCTACACCCTTGCTCAGACCTGTTTAAGATGTCTCCGTTGTACCTACTAAACACGGTTCAACTTCAAATTAGTATTACAAAACACTGTCTATGCTTACAATAGCTTGGGTTTTACAGTACCACTTCCAGGACCACTGTTATACTACTGCTTAGCCAGTGCTGTTAGCTAGCTGCACAGGTAACTGTTACGGTAAATTGTACCTGCTGAGTTTCCCTGTGTTTTTTGGTAGCGTGGGGACAGGAATGAAGGGGATGGAAAGACCGGTGAACTACTTCAAACCGTTTTACCCAAGACTTGGAAAATCTTGGCTAGTAGTGGGGAACACAGACATCAACAGGACTGTTAACAGTGCTCATACAGTAAGTAAAGTTGTCATATACTTAACTTGTGATTGACTATTTAACCCTTAAATTTATTTAATTTTCCATAACGTAAAAGTGAAGGGTGCCGTTTCTGTGGAACATTATGCTCTCTTTTAATCCTCTTTAGGGCACTGTACATACCACTGTTAGTGGTGTCAGTACTTAAAGCGTTTTCTAGGGGTTTCAAATTTAACTGTGAAAATCCTTTGTGGGCTAAAACTTGGCTTAAAGTGTATCTTGGAACATTCTTATTTTCTATGGTCAAAGAGATTTGATCACATGTATTTGAGCTGAATGCTTACAAAATAAATTTTCTGTACTGATTGAAGGGTTTTTTCCTCCTGCTTCTATTAGGCAAATGATCTTTAATCTAAGGAGGAACGTTCCTCCGAATAGTGAAAACTCTCAGTACCTGTTCAGCACAGCAGAACAGCAATAGTGAAGCTTCACTGCACAAATTATTAACGTCCAGCTAACCCTTAGAAAATTGTAACTCTACCCTTGCTACCCTCATGTAGATGGAAGTTACACAGAGCTTGCTTGTGATTATCAGCGATTCAGTTTGAGATGGCTGTTAAAAAAAAAAACAAACCAGGAGAATGTAGATAATGTTACAGAATGAAGCAATAACACAACACTAGAGTGCAGTTGGCTTGATACAGGGACCCAATGCGCACGTGCCTGGTAGAGGCATCCTGCCGGACTCATCTTACTAAAATGCTCACCTTATTCAGGAAATTTTTTGTGTGAGAAAAGCCATGTAGAGTTGAGCAGTCTAACAGGTCGCGTCACAAGAACAGTTGTCTAGCCACTGGTAAGAACTTTATTATCTTAGTTGCGATGTTAGTGCCTCAAATAAAACATGCAAGAAGAGTGCATCCAAATGTTTGCAGGTCAAATACAGCGCACCCCTCCATGTAACAGAGAAGGGGAAAGAAAGCTTTTCCAGGCTACCAGTACAGAAAACTAAGTATGGTATAGTAAATAATATGGAGACTGTTAATTTGTCAATGGTTTCCCTCCACAATACAGGAGGCTCCTCACCTCTAAACTTCTTGCAGGTAGAATCTTCAGTGCTCTTACGAAGAGATGAAGAGTCCTTGTATATAGAAATCAGACTACAGAAATACTTGTTCAGTGTTTGTCCTGTTGGTCCGAAAGAATTAAATAATTCCGTTCATCTGCAAGCACTGTTTCAATATTTGTTTCTGAGTATTAATATTTCAAGCTTTAACTTAAATACCATGTGTTAGCAAAGGCTTCATTTGATCCAGGAACTTTTACATATTTCTTGGTAATTTCTTTAGCGTAAAGTTTCCTTCAGGAAAAGCTAGAAACCTGCTCACCATAAATACATGCCAAAGGTCTAGTGCTAGTCAAGCAATTAAACGAGTGATTTTCTTCAGGTACTCAGCCTTAACTAGTAGTTCCAACTCTAATGCTAAGTTTCAAAGGCAGTTACAGTGACACTTGTATCTGTACCAAACAGTTTGTTGTCATTCAGACTATCCATAACACGGTTCACCTCCCTTCAGTACTTTTCTCTAAAGGTCTTGGTATGAGTTGCACTGTACTTGCTGTGAAATTTGAGGTGAATCATTTCCTTATGCTAACTGAAGACTTGGAAGTTTCTCATTACAAACACCAAAGACACTTGCATGGAAACGGGTATCGTGCAATTCAGGCAGGAAATTCCTTCTAGACCACCGATCTTTAAAACTGTAGTTGCCTGACAGCCAGGAAATCATTTAGGGCTGAGCTGGAGTTAAAAAGGTCATCAGAAAGTTGCAATAATCGTCGAACCCTTAAGAAACAAATACCTTCTGTCCATCGCTGCCGCCTTGCCTTAGCAGAGCCGTGACTGAGGTATGGAAACAGAAGTAACAACACTGGCAGGTTTAGGCATGTGACTTTGACAAGTCATTTAAATTTCACTTCCCGGGCTTCATTGTCTTACCCTGTGTCACTGTTCATTTATGTGGAAATGTGTCATCGCATCAATGTAAAAAGAAGCAGGCCTGCCCAGGAGGCTTTTGGTAAAGTAAGAACTATGTAAAATATATAGTAAAATAATTCTCATAGTTTACAATGATGAGAATTATTTTGATGGTTGGGGAGGGAGGGGGGGGGGGACCACCA